AGCAGAGAGAAGAGAAGGGGGGGGGGGGGGGGACTTCCTTTCCTTGGAGCTGGTTTGGAGAAAAACGGCTGAGAATGGGGGAGGGAAAAATATTAGCGAGCGTCTGATTGTTTATTTGCCTTCCCCGGTACCTCCTAGTAACACGCCCAGGGGCCAGCATGCCAAGGGGTTGTTTAACACAAATTACCTGCTACTGCCTGCAATCTGAAATTAAAAAGCGGTGCGTGGGTTCAAACTTCAAAACAAAACAAAAAGTTTGCCGTGTGCACTTTTAACATCTTTGAATTCAAATGACTTTCCACAGAACTTGTGAAAGCAAGGATGGGATTCCTAGGAGGCTAGAAGCTCACTGGCATCAGCCACGCTTAGGTTGGCTCAGTCCCTGTTGTTGCAAAACTTGTGAGACTAAATCTCCCTTAAAGGTTCCCAGCATAGATGCCTTGTGTGGGGATGTTGATAAACTGGCCCTTTTGGGACGGGCGGGGAGGGGGAGAAGTTTGGTCGAGAGAAGATATGGTGCCATTTTTGTGCAATCCGCACAAACTACAATGTCTTTTGACGTTAATTCACAGGGTAAGGCCTTTGTTTTCTTAATATAAGTGACCTGAAAGTGTTTAAAGCAGCAAGTGTACATCCCCTTTTGAAATACCATTTCTCATTTCTAAAATACATTGTCTGCATGGCACTTTCGAAGATTATCCAGTTTGGAGATGCAAACTTTTATCTTCTTTTACATTTATAGATAAGCAAGCCAGGCAATGGAAAGGGTTATGTTACCTGCCTTAGGTTCACACAATGAGTCAGTGTGTGTGAATAATATTCTGAGCTCTTTCTGACTCTCAGACCTGTGGTCTAACCACTAAACAATACACTATCCTTGTAATGCATAATCTAACCACTTATTCACTCATTTTGTACTATTTATAAATATGGGCTCTGAATGGATCACTAATAAAATGCTTTTATAACCTCAGTAGTCTATTCTTACACCTACATTGTTAGAGTTTTAAACATGCTCATATGGATTTTAACCAGTGACAGCTAGAGGAAACTATTTATTATGATGAAATACTGGTTCCATTATACAGTACTCAGATTTTTTTTTCAAAAAGGCCCTCAATGTAACCTTACATATATATATAAACCTCACACATAAGCCCCCAAACTTTTTCTCCAGACTTCAGTTAAACATACATTATGATTATCTGAATTCGTTGTGTGCCTACACGCCTATCATCTTTTTAAAAACTCAATTCCTGATTATCCATACATTTGTAATGATCATTTTAAGTCAGATTCATTTCAGTGGAAAAATCAAAAATACATAGATCTCTCAGTGAAGTTTTAACGTGCTCAGCGTGTCAAATTCTTCTGAGTATAAGACACCATGATACAGCTAAGATATTTGGACCTTTGGATTCAAGACTTATCTTAGTTTAACTTAATCATCTGCAGTGTTGTAATATAATAGTAGCCTACAAGTGAGGGCCAGATGCCTAATTAAAATAATCTGAGGCGTTTTTTAAAACTGAAAGGATACATAATTTCTAGTATTTTTGTATAAAACAACAATGATCAGTTCTTGTGTATAAGGTTAAAATAAATTCAGACATGAACAAAATAATTCCAGTTTGTTTTTAAAATATTTTATGAAGCACCCACTGTAATTTTCAATTCTGTATAAATAAAAATGGCTAAAAACAGGGGGATACAGTACTTGGTAGTGGAAACTAGGTGTCCAAGCTTTGATCTGAGTTCAGATCCAAGTTGTCCTGTCAACTTCTGAGGTGAGCACTCATCTAGATCAATGGTTCTTAACCTTTTTGAAAGAAACGCCGCCTTGAGCCATTGAGGAAGTTATCATTGCCCCCCTCCCTGCGGTGATGATATTTATTTATTTATTTATTTATTTATTTATTTATTTATTTAAGACACTTAAATGCAATGACCCCTGAAAACAAAATTCAATTCCAAGAAAATGAAATGCCCCC